AATCAATAACCTATGCTGAACCAACCTGTCTGATTGTATTTCACTTTGATTGTTGAGGAGAACACGTAGCTCCGACAGCTGGTTTATATACACATACAAATATGAATATTGTAATGACCGTTGAAAAGAAGGACAGACAAGTCCTTCGGCCTTGCTTCTGGAATTGAATACAATGTCACAGTGCTTGAAGTATACGGACAGTTTATGCATTTCATTTCTTCAAACTGGAGCTCAGAAAGCTCGTCTAACTGAAAGTAAACAGCAATTTATCAGATAGGAAGCCTCTGGAATGAAGGTCGAGACTAAAAAGGTGACCTGATCCCAGAAAATAGGCAGATGTCTCTCGTAACCTTCACTGAAGGCTTCAGCAAGGCAATAATTTTACAGTGAGATGCCTAAAATCAGAATGACAGGATGATATTCGGTTCCCAGCATTAAATAAGTCAGTTGGTGACCTGCTCTTTCAGGGTCTTTCGGCGTCCTAAGGGTTACGAGTAAAGTTAATTGGTTTGTGTTGTTCCACATTCCACATCTTAACTGTAAAGCCAATCTAATTGTCTGGAGTATATTTTGTTGGAAAATTGGTTTGGAGGGTATTAATGTAGTATTTCAACTTAGTGATTTAAACAGCAAGCATATCTACTGGATGTATCTTTTTAAATTAATTTAGATAATTCTATATATAAGCTTCTAAGATTCCAATCGATTAAAGTCTAATCATGAAATATTTCATGGTCACCGTGGTTTTCTTTTACAAACCAGAAACAATATTATTGTTTAATCTGACCTTTTTGATTCACGTTCACAAACTTAATCATTGTTTTATTACAGTCTCTTTGGAAATATTATGCATGGTTGTAACTTATTGCATTTTTTCATTATGTTTGGTATAAAGAGATTTCAACTTTGAGTTTAGATTCCTGCCTCGCAGTGCAGTGAAGGCACTGATTAGATTGGACAAAATCATTACAGTTAGTCAGGCAACAGTCATTGTAGCCACAAGTCATGTCTTTTCTCCAAATTAGAACTTAAGCTCACTGGTTTTCTGGATTTTGCATTGTGACAAATGGCAGCCAGCTAAATACTTGGCAAAGTTGATTATTAATGTAATAATCTTTGAAACTGGAGAAAGTAAATCTGAAATACTCAATGAACAATAAAAGATGATTATTGCC